GCGATGTTCTGCGCAAGGCAGGACGTGTCGGGCGCCGCTAGGCTCCTCGTTCTGTTTGCGTACTCGCTTTCTGAGGCTGTGGTGGTGCCCATGCCTCTGTTGTGTCGAGGGCAGGAACGACTGGTGTGTTGCGCTGCTGGCCGTCGTGGAGAAGGCAGGCGCGACGTGGTCGTTAGCACTGAAGTTCGCCTCTTGTGCTTGCTGTTGAAGCCAGCCGCCCATTGCAAAGACGGCCTGCATCTCTAGCAGTTGTTTAGCGGTCGAGGTGCTTGCGGGACTGGTGTTCCCGGTGTGAAATGCGTTAAAGTAGGCGCTGTCTACAACAAGACGGGTCTCACAAGTGCCATTTACGGGATCTGCAATGGAAACAGAGTGATTGAGAATTAGACAATTGTGTTCGCTTTATTTATGTTCGTTTTTTACCACTACCAGAATTTGTGCTTTTGTACTTGTCAATGAACTATTAGGAAAGGTGCGAACACCTCAGGGTATTTTTGGAATCGGCAAGTTTCCTTTATAATAAATTGCTTTATTCAACATGTGAGCATAAAAATTTGTTACCCTCATTGTTTGCCGAGTCGGAAAAGAGGATGTTGATAAATGGATAGATGTACTGCGTCGAGGGATAGTTTTCACATTGATAATTCGTAGATGTTAGCCCTTATAAAAGCATATTGCCCCGCTTTCTTTTCGTTACGTTAAAAGCTTTCTCATGAGCTTCAAGCCAGGTGAATGCATAATCTGTCATTGTTATACCAGTGATCGTAGTGTAAGTGATCATTTCTTATCATGAAACGAAAATTCTGAATACTGTTCTTGAATGCCTTATACAACATGTGTAGGGTAACATACACGTAGCTGCAAAGCTTGTTTATTTGAAATATTCTGTTTGCTTTAGTGCGAAAAATTTTGTGCACACAATTTTCATATGACGCTTTAACATTGAGTTTCCTAATCAAACTTAAGCTTTAAGGTAGCGACTTTTCTAAAAGCACGCCACATATCTTTTAGGTGTCATGTTGGAAATTTACTAAATTTCGCAAACTTTTAAAAATATAGTTATTTGAAAGCTTCCAGAGAAAAATCACGTACTTTCTGACGATGACGGCACCTTTTTTATACTCATTCATGAATATTTATGAAAGAAATTATGAGTAATGGTGCACAATACACAATGAGTCCAAGTTTTGTGTTTCAAGTTTGGCGTCTAAAGTATATATTGCAGTTGCCATGATGCTGCAGGGGCTACGGTACTCCACTGTTGAACCCAAAGTCGCGAGTTCAACCCCAATGAACAAGACCCATATAATTAGATTTTGGTGCACTGGAAAGGACGCCAAGAGCTTTCCTTTATGGCGTTTTTTGCACATAAAGCCCCAGTTAGTATTCTACACTACGCCTATTAAGACATCAGCGTATTGTAAACATAAGAACATGATCGCAAAGGTCCAAAGAACGTTTGTCAATAAGGGCACTGCTTCTAAACAATATGTAAATAATTCTTGACATGTTGAGTCATAGTCTCCTTGCGAACCTTATTTGAATGTTATCCGGGAATCTTAAGGCACACAGCCGAAATTAGCTTGATGCGCAAGTGATAGGTACGAGTTAAACAGTGCTTGCAGAAATTGAGGCTAGCCCGTCGCCATTGCGCGGCGGGCTAGTTCTGCCGTTCTCATGTCCCAACATGAATCTCTTCTCCTCTGCCGTCCATCGGCGGTGGAAGCGCGAGTGACGTTGACCCCGACCTCCCGGCACTGGATCGTACCAGATGTCGACGATGGCGCTGCGCTCGAGTCTCCCGAGTCATTTCGCACGCGCACCTGACAGGAGTGAGAGACCGCTCATGACAGCGAAGGGTGAACACGCCTTCTCTTTTCAGTACGTTAGCCCCTCTGTTCTTGGGGCTCACTCAGATTAGCCAACGGCGCCTTGCGCCTGCGGTGAACGTTTGCCTTTCAGTGGCCCTTCTGAACGGTTCCCCTTCCGAACGTCTCTTACTACGCCGAGCCGTGCCTCTCGAAGCCAACGCATACGGAGTTTGCCCTCGCTGCATCGATCAGCCCTGTGGTCACTGATCGTGACAGCGTGCAGCCTAGTCGCAAAGGCACATTGCCCTCAGCGGCGTGTCACCGTCTACTGTTTCGCCTATGCAGACGTGCTCGCGGTAGCCTTTCTCTTTTGCTTTCACCCATGGCGTGGATAAGCCTCTTTGGCTTTCCTGCCACCCTTTGCAGCGAACGTTGTACTGCGTGCGTTTTTAGTGTTCCCACAGGCAATGAGGTGTGCGACTTGTTTGAGAGCAGCACTGTGTACGTTTCGCACTGCGCTCGGCGTCTTGGCTGTCCGAACACGCATGTGCAGTGGTATTAGTCCCGGGAGGCGACGGTGAACGCGGCACTGCTGCTCCCTAAGACCCAAAGCGCTCTCGTGGCCATACGCCTTCGGGCTGTGCGTGCACTACAAGATGCAGAATGATAGTATAAGGTCAGCGCTCGATGTATGTTCTTGTGCCCTCTCCAGCGCAGTAAGAGTAGAGGTTCATGAAGAGTAAAGAAAGGCTGGGAAATAAAACAGCACTGAGTGCGGTATGCTATCCTCTTTTGGGTAAGAGGGAAATGAAATAAAACCAATATAAGAGCAGATAAAGATCAGTGTTTCAGCCGACGTAACAGTTTCGCCTCCGATAAAACAAACCGCAAATCAGTTGGGTAGCCTTAAGAAAGCCCGTCCATGTTTTATTGCTTTTCAGAAGTGAGGTGAGCGGTGCCCTAGTCCCCGTAAATTCCACATCTTATCGACAGCGACCATGATTCCACTCACGTGATTTAGAAACGTACGGAAATGAAAATTTGTGTTTGCGTAAGTCAGGCTGGGCCAATTAGGTGCTCAATAGTGTTATTGACGACGCAGAAAACTTTTGCTTGTGGTAATACTAACTTATCAGCATATCTTAACTACAGCCTGCTTATCAGCTCGATTACTGTTTATATTAATTAGGCACCTCTATGGATAACCCACTTCTCCCTACTCTGCAAACGGCGTTTCAATAACACGTTTATAATGAGAAACGCAGAAACCACTGCTAAAATCTGCACATAATTTTCAAAGTCAGAAAATTTGTAATTTTATTGCATTGTATTCTTCGTTTTTACTTTAGAGGAAACACGTACAATGTGCAATCAACATACGTGTATTATATAAATGCAGACTTACAAATACTCTCTCCAGATCTTTCGTTGAGGTCGGCGCTGCCTGTTTCAGTATGACTGGCAGACAACGTTGGATTATAACCGTTATCAGTGCCTGCGACATCAGAAAGAATCTCACTGTCATGTTTATTAAGTTTTGAAGCTCGTTTTGAAGTGACCAGGAGTCACCTCTACACAATTGGTGAAGAATAGTGGGTGAAGCCGTGTAGACGGCAGTTGTAAATCTTTTATCACGTCACCAAAGACGCTTGGAGACATACGAGTATGTCTTATCACTGGCAAGATGAATTAAAGAAACATGTCATTTCTTAACTTAATCTCCAACGCAAGCAGCACCGGAGAAGCAAAAATTTTGAAAAAAACAGAACCACTGTGAGACTACAAATACTGCGCATGTACGAAGGATGATACGCACTTTCAGGATATGTAATAATGACTGCACAGAAGAAAGAAATATTGAGAGTCACATTTGAAAAGGAATGATTACCTTGTGAGTTTGAGTCAACATTTTTCTCGTTGTGGTAGCTTTGCAGCATAAGAGGTGTGACGTAGTGCTTCACGAGACGATCTGTCTTGTCTTGTTCAAAAGGTGACGGTTCTATTCGCTCTGTAGGACTCAGAATTCCAACCTTTGAGCAATGGAGAAAAATACATTTATCTAAAAAAATAACCTGCCATTATCAATGCACACACACACATATCTGTCCTCGTTTGAGCTAAAATCTCGTTTAATGCAGCAGATATTCATTAGTATACGGAAGACTCTTGGACTAGTTGTACCTTAACGTTACGAAACTAGCCTCAACAAAGACGACGCAAAAAAAGTGCCAGACTGGGACAAGTTCTAGCCTTGTCCCGCCTGTGGCTGCCCTTCTCTTGCTCGTCATTGTGTAGTCTCCTTCACTGTAAGTTTATTTTATTAACATATTATTTAGTATTTTGTCCTGGTCGTTATCGTATAGTCTTCTTCATTATAGGTTTCTTTTGTTAACATATTAGTTATATTGACATGGATGGATTTCGCATCCGTAATCGGTGTGTGTTGGCACATACGTTCGTCTCTCTTATCAGCAGTCATTCTTTACCGGACTTAACAGCCGCCTATGTTATCAATGTATGCAAACCGCACCTTGGTATATCGGAGTTTCATTTCTCCCTATAATTGGGAGGCAGACGCCGGGCTGTTATCAAAGGCTGACGTATCACCCCCCGAAACGCACCATCAAAGCGCGGACAATTTAGTGTTGGTCGCTTTGGTGAGTTAGCTGATTGTATTTAAAATATTGAGAGTAAGCTGAAAGTTGATAACAAAACAAAATATTTCTCAGATAAGGTAGTTCAAGCAACACAAAAAGCATGCCGACTCTGCCGTTATCATTATCAAATACAATGCACATGTTGCCCAGATAAATTCAATACAACGGGCGCAAATAACTAGCGCTACAATGCAATCGCATGCATTAACTATTCAAGAACACCTAAGGCTTGAATGCTCTTCAAACGTATTCAGTCCAAAGTTGTTTGAACCAAACAGGAATTCTTCTCTTTCAGGAAACACTCGCACCAAACTGAGCGCTGGTTTCATGCTCATCCGCTCATCCAAGGTTTCTCTCCCAGAAAACGCTCTTCAAAACTTGCCCACTCTCAAGTCGGAGTCACTCGACTCTTCCAGAACGATTGACCACACTTCAACAACAAAACTGTACGCCTGAGTTTTGTTAGGGGCAAACGAATAATGGCCAGTTGGTAGACAGCGCCTGAAGAAAAGGGGAGATAACGAAATGTGGCTGCACAGACGAGGTTCTAAGCCGTTTTCCTCTGCATGCGCCTTTGTTGCCAAACCCAGGAAGCTTTTGTTCACTGCATCTGGCGCTGGTGGGTCAGCCGCATGGCAGAAGCGTTCTCACGGTCAGCCAGTCTGAGAAACAAATGGTCCCTGTCGCCACATCGCTCCAGACAGATTTCTGTGGCGGCGTGCTGTCACAGTAAGTGTGGACAGACGGCAGCATCGCAACAACGGTAGGCTTTTTGTTGCTCGAAAGTATTTTAATCTGTACGTTCACAAAATGGCGGAGTTCTTAAGCCGATTTTTTGGAAAATGGGAATAGCAAAGTATGGGAACGCAGTGGCAGACACACGTCTCTGAGGAAAAGAGATTTGTTCGCTGCATTGGTGGAGCATCAAGAAGGAAATCGTCTCATGAGTGGGTCTCAGATGAGACGGAAGGTAATTATTAGAGAGAAATGGGGAGGAGGGAACCTTAGTGCTCGAGGACGAGTCGGGAAGCGTGGACAGAGGTCGTGCTTGGTGCCAACTCTTATCCAGGATTCGATGATACATCGAGAAGTTGGTGTCAGTGTGTGCAGTATACTAAAGGCTTGGCAAGTAACGCCGACGTTAATACTGCCCAGTGCTTACTGTGTGGTCCGTTTAGAGGCCGTCCCGGACTTTGATTGTAAATAAGTGTCTATGCGTAAATAAACTGAAGTTTGCCAGCAACTGAGCAGCCGGGCCTGTCCAGTTCTTCAACGTGTCGTCGTGGTCATCTGAGCCATCGGTATTACCTCCATCATCTCAAACTTAACTGCCGGCATCACCATCGCACACTCATCCACTGTAACTGTAGGACAGGCCTTCGCACAATGGCGCAATCAAACACCAAATCCATCTCTTCCCGCGCATCGCTCCGCAGCTTCCTTATATCCGCTCACACCTAGGTACTCGAAGCTTCCAGACTTTTCATCGGCGCACAGCACAGCTAAAGCTGGGGTAAGGTCGAGATAATTCTCGTAGTTTCCGAGAAAAACGTAATGGTACAGTGTGTCACCTCTTACCTTCCGCATGGGTCTCGAATTCACTTGGTTATTTATCCTAGGTGGTTGCGGATGGCGGGCGTTCGTTTATATGGGGGAGAAGAGGTCTGCGCGTGGTGTTTTTTGATGGTTGTTTTTTTCGTTGGACTTGCTTCTGGCACTTCTGATCGGTGCCTGATTTTCCCGTACAAATTAGAAATTGGAAGTGCACGCTTTCTTGGGCACTCGTATGTGACACCTAGCATTCCCAAAGTTAACTGCTGATTTTAATTAAACTGTAAAGGCGACACGATGAGCAATGAACGATGTATAAGTCAAAAATATACCAGCAATGAGAGTGAAAGGTTCAATAATGTAAGTTGAAATTACGATGATCCATGAAGATAAGAGGGCTTACAGCTGCATGTCAGATTTACGATAATCGACTACCGTGCTTGCTCTGGCATTGGTGTTCTCTTACCTGCTTCTACGTGCCCCGCTTCTCCCAATAAATTATTTATTCGTCATTAGCCTCCATTTTTCGCCGCCACCACAAAGGGACTATACTGTATTTTGTATTTCACAATGCCCTCGTGTCAAATATATTAGTCTTTGAAGCGCCAAGACAGTCTGCATTTTTTTCTAAATACTTTGGAAGTGCCTTTTCGAGCATCCAATGAGGTTGAGAACAGCCGGCTTCGTTAAGAAAATGGTCATTCAGGGAAAGTGGGAGCTTATTTTGAATGTAATTCTCGGACACTCCATACTACTTCAATAAATTAAGAATGCATGTTAAAATCAAGCAGGCATCGCGAGACTCAACACCCACCCCTCTCCTTCACCCTACCCTGTTTTTTATAGTACAACAGGTGAACTACAACGGTAAAGAAAAACCAATACCAGCATTCTGCAACATAGAGTAGTCACTTTTGAAGCACGTAAAATTGAAGTCCCTAATTTGCTTTCGATGTGAGTGTTACACACCATCACGCAGGTATTGCACAGATGTTACACAGGTGTCGGTTTCTTTCTCTCCTCCCAAACAACTCAGATAATTTTTTTCGCGTAACTTAAACGTACTGTTTGTGCCACCTATATGCATGCACAAGTATTGTAATCAAACTCTGTCATATTTGCCATTTCAATATGGGTGTGCTTCGACTGAAGGTAGGCAAGCAAATGAACGTGAGTGCTTACGCACCAGTCGAAGTCCCTTGGAGCGGGTAAGGCTGACGCTTGTCAGTGCTTGAGGATCGCAGTAAATGTCTTGCTCTACTACGCTTCCATTCATCTGCAGTGACGATTGTTCAATTCATATTTAGTCAATGTGTGGTGGGCTATTTCATCTAAGATTGCATATAGGTGAAAAGTCATAGAGGGTAACATTCATATTACGCAGTATTATACACAAAGAGAATACCTAGTTGCCAGAGAATTTCAGATTACTTTTGAATATGGGTATGCAAATATAAACGTCTTGAACCGAGTCGATTACGAATTTGTGTGTTTAAAAACAGGGGGTAACGATTTAGAGTATAGTTACTCTACTATGGGAGAGCTCAAAGCCGTCCCGTGGCAATATTTCTCAGCTTAGTCTTGCACAATTAAGCCAGCTAAGAGCGATTATAGTGAAGGTAACGTTTGCTTATTCTTACTGTGCAGCCCATGCAGCGGTTTCTACAGGCGTGAAGAACGCATACGATTTTACAAGTTATACAAGGTTGTATAGAAGGTTACTAAAATAAAATAAAATAGACAAGAAATACGTTACAAAATAGAGAAATACAAGTAACACAAGCATGTACACTTACACTTTGCGCACATATAAAACACAGTATAAATAACACAAACAATCAAAACGCAATTGGAATACAAACGATGTACCATACGAATAGTTTTTGAATAGTAAGGTGGCATAATACGAATGATCACTAGAATGGCAATGTAAGTAATTTTGAAACAGTCGGAAAATTCCAAAATCTTTTATTAAAAATAAATATGCATGAATATTTTCGAAGAATCGTTGCGATTACTTTTAACAAACAAAAGATACCACAATAAATAAACTGATGCAATCCTTCATACATTAGTGAGTAGATTCAGATGAATATTTTATAATCGCTGGTTGAAATGCAGTAATGGTCACAGTATGCAACCACACTTGCTCAACAGGTGCTAAGTAAAGCTGACGTTTAATAATAAACAATATGCATGAGTCACAATCATCACGTGTGTCATGGTAAATATTGTGGAGTGATGACTCTGTCACTTTGATGAGAAGAGAGTTTTAGGCTAAAGTACTATCAAAAATTGCTGAGAATCATTAGGTGTTACTTTGTCAACGCTATTAAATAAAACAGATGCATAAATGACAAACAAGATCTATCAGTCAACACCACTACCAGTGGCATGCTTAAAAAAGTGGACTGATGAATCTGTCAGTTCAGAGAAAAAGTGCTTCTTATAATTGCTGAAATCGTATCAATATTTGCCTCACGTTACGAAGCCTTGGGCCTGTGCATATAATTAACAAATATTTTGCTTTCCATGCTAAGTCACAAGAATTTTTATTCAATTATCAGCCTCTTGTCGATGCTACAAACTTTAGATAGGAAGAAAACCACAAGGCTTCTTTTCTTTTCCAGCAGGAAGAGAAACCAATTTTCTGGCTACTGCTACACCAAGCCTTACCTCTACACCCTCTCCGCTTGTTCATCGGCGAGCTCAGCTCACCGTACACTATGCCTGTACAACATATACTGGATATTTTATGTCCAACACTAGGGAGCTTTGAGTGGACACAAGGAAACGGCCAGTATCTTTGTAATGAAGCTTGACAAGTCTGTGCATGTATATATGAGCATGATGCATTTGAGAAGTTTCATTGATTACGATAAAATTTCAACATACAATTGAGTCATTCTATTTCAGACGTGTATAAAACGCAGCAGGGTTGTTACACGATTGATTGATTGATATGTGGTGTTTAACGTCCCAAAACCACCATATGATTCCGCAAAACGCCGTAGTGGAGGGCTCCGAAAATTTCGACCACCTGGGGTTCTTTAACGTGCACCCAAATCTGAGCACACGAGTCTACGACATTTCTGCCTCCATCGGAAATGAATGTTGTTACACGCCATGCAGATGTTTTGGTATCACCATTTTATAACTTCTTTCGTATCTCAGGCCTCTTCTCCAGCGTAAGTAACAAACAATACCGACATGAGTGACCTTCCTGTTCTTTCTCCCTCTTTCTTCCCCAGTAAGCAAGCCTTTTCAAACCTCCGTGTCATTAGTCAGGAATATCCTACGGTTTGAGTCAAATCGAACATCTCGTTATGCTCAAACTGTTGTTTCATTAGGCAACAATGAAATAAGCTTCTCACGTAATAAATAGTTTCTTTGTCTTGTTCGAATGTGGTCAACTGAAGTTCTTCCCGCATTACAGATGCCTTCCGCAGTGTCAGGTTCTGGCCAGGTCGGATGGTGACAAGTAAGAATCCATGATCAGATTGTTCTTCGAGTATTCGAGGGTACACCGCGTCATGTCCTGTGAACAAGTAGTCGGCAATCCAAAGACACAAATTATTTAAAGACTTATAAAGGCATTGTTAGTGAAGTACTTGAATTGATTACAAACTTTAGCGTCGAACACAAGTCTTGCTTCGTCATTACCGTAAAATGTCTTGATAGCCACATGCAATTAGTGCTGCTACATGTAACAATAACTATTTTGTAAGAAGCTAGCTATACTTCTACAAAGTTTCACCACAACTGTTCCTTTTTACCCGGATGAAAAAAAAAATGGCAGATCCTATGTGCAGTGAGAATCGATGACATGCGAAGCACAAATGAGGGAGGTAAATATGTCCTTTTAAATAACCACAACGTTACAAGTTGGAGGTAAATTATGCTATACATGACTTCCTTGTCATGATTATTATGTTTGAATGTGTCGTTTACCTTCGTCATCGATTCACGGCACGTGATGCTAAATTTAGTACATGCGGAGCTGGCGAAATGGCTTCGAGCATGCTATGAACGTGGTATGTTGTCATGTTCTTACATGACAAGCGTGTCATGATTATGATTTTTGCACCAGTCACATACCGTCGTCGTTCATTTATGCCTTGTTATACCAAACTTAGTATATGTGAAGCTAGCGAAACGGTGGTGAGCGCATTATGAAGGGTCCACTTTACTCCAACGTAACGTTGACGCGCGAAATGAATCACGTGACATGATTCATTTCGTGCCGACGCGTTATCCAGACGGCACGACGTCTGCCTCTTTTTGTGACATAGGGACGCCAGACGCACTGAAACGCGCATGCGTCAAAGCAATGCGGCGTGCCTGAGAGTATATGGCAGGACCGGCGCCTGGCGTGGCAACGCAGGCGCAGACGAGCACCGGGTCAGTTCGAAGTGTATTGGCGTCTTGACTGCGGCATGTAGTCATGTTCTCACATGACACGCATCTCCAGATTATCATGTTTGCACCAGTCACATACCTTGGTCATCCAATCACGTCCCGTAATGCCAAATTTGGTATATGTGAAGCTAGCAAAACGGCCGCGAGCGCATCATGAGTGCGGCATGTAGTCATATTGTTACCTGACACGCAAGTCGTGATTTACATGTTTGGATGTGTCATTTATCTATATAGTCTGTTCGCGTCACGTAACACTGAATTTGGTACATGAGAAGCTAGCGAAACGGCCGTGAGCGCATCATGAGCGTAGCATGTAGTCAAGTTGTTACAAAACATGCATTTCACGTTTTATTGCGAAAGCAAATATATGGACACTGTCGGCTGGAGTTTGTCGCCCGCGTCGGCATCGATCGACGTCGATATCATGCTCCATGTATGTATACGTATCTACATATATAAATACACAAGAAAGAAAAAAAAATCCAGGAAAAAAGCACTTTAGCGTGCGCGATCAAACACGGGACCTCAGCGTCGTGAATGCGAGGCGTTCACCACTGAGCCACTTCGGAGAACTTTCTCCACCATTCAAACTGCAAGATATTTATATCTACCACTTACCGCTGCTGTGTTTTTGGCATTACCAGAAAAATGGCGCAATGAGCACACGTCGCTACCAAGGTGGTTCTATGCTATTTCTTCTGGAGTGGAGGTGTGCCCCGATAAGTGACGCCGGTTGCCGCCATATTGGAAAAAGAAAGACTCAGAAGCAGACGAAAAATTGTGCTTCAGAGCTCCGCCCTCGCAGTGGCCATTGGAGACTGTGACATGCTTTTGTAAAGCAGGTAAACATTTTACAAGGCCATGGTGATTTCGTGCGTTGCTTATGGCTGCACAAATCGCATCAAGAAGACGCCTGGGGTAACCTTTCACGTGTAAGTATTCTCGCTTCCTTCGCTGACGATCGCCTGGCTTTTCGCGTATGCTGTTAAATTAGAAACAGTATGAAAGGTGCGCATGCTTGTAATACATGCGCATAGCTGTATTGAAGGTAACTTGAAGCTTTAAATGGTCGCTGACACGACATTGTCCATGAGTTTCAAATTTCTGGGGGAAGCACTTGCATTCTATGTCTGCACGTATCTAACATTGGAACGAGTAGGACGTCTGAAAGCACTTTGACTTCCAAGTTTTCTGGTGTTGTCTTACAAGGAAGGACATAGGTGTGCATGCATATTTTTTATACCAAATTCGAAAGTGAATATCAAATTTGGTGTATGTTTATTGAGGAATTCGTAAACGTAGAGAATATATTGTGCAGTGATTACCAGTTACATGTTTCCGAAAGACAGTGTGCTGTGTTCCGCCTGGGAACGTGCTGTTCGAAAAAATAGTTGAAGGGCTACGGATGGTGACAACCTCTGTTCTATTCAGTTCGAAGAATGCTGCTTCGACAGAACGGGGCAGACAACCAAACTGCAGCCTGGCAGTGCACCTTCGATTTTTCCTGCTTTCCGAGCGCATCTGCAAAAATCTGTTAGGTTCTACCTCCTTGATGTAGCTTTGATAGAATGTAGTGACCATAATAAGAAATTACGTCTAGAACAAGAGAGACACCTTTGAAATCCTTTCTATCTTGCCGATGACACCAAAACCAAAACGCCGATAGACGAAGTTGCCAAAATGAGTGAGTGGTGTTATATCAAACATCAAGCTATAGCTCTGAAGGGTATGCTTGCCATGACAACCCATGTCACCAACAGAAGTTGATAAATATTATGCAGAACTAACGCCACTGCAATTGTTCTTATAAACGGTTCATTTGGGCTGCGTCTTCTTGAGTACGTCTCCTGGAGTTGGTCGGTTGCACGCGACATCAGTGCTTCGGTATTGGTTCCGCTTGTAAATTGGTTAGAAATCGATAAATCTCGAAAAAATACTGGTGACTGCCAGTTTACTTAATTAACTCTCTTTTCTAAATTTAGCATTAATTATTTCAACTTTCTTATATATTCTCTGATAATCTGCGGACACACACAATCACATATAGCTTCTCTACAAACTGTGGCCAGAAGACTTTAAATTACACTCGAGCCTTTCTATCTTATCGTGCCGCATACATCTACTTCGATTCTATCGATTATGGCCCGTATCCATTAGGCACACGGGGTACACCCCAAGGTGCTGCCCTGTCAACCCCACTTTTTAACCTGGCCACAAAGAACCTCCCCTCCCTTCTGGGTCAAGTCGAGGGAATACACCACGCACTATATGCCGACAATATTAAAATTTGAGCCAACACCGGCTCCCCAGCACAAATCTAAAATCGCCTACAAAAGGCTGCCCTTCTGGTAATTGCCTACACTGCTTCGTGTGGCCTGGACTGCTCTCCAGCTAAATCAGCTATTCTCTCGGTATCTGACTTACCTCCACCTCAGGTTTTGCTTCAGTCTGGTCCCGTTCCATCAGTCGGGAAAATTCGAGTTCTTGGGCTCCACATCACTTCATCTTTGGATGTCACCGGAACTTTGGCAACAAAAACAATGGGTGGAACCACTATCCCGCAACATGAACCGCGAGCTACATCCCGGCCGCAGACCAGCACGTTTCGTGTCCCTTCAGGCGCGACACTCTGACCGCCTTGGCGTTTTCTACGTAGACGTCTCGGGCCTATCCTCCTCAGGTCACTTCACGATTGCCGTGACCACAGAGGGAAAACGCGTTGATGGCCTCTCCTTAAGAGCCAACACTGTGACACAAGCTGAGGAATTTGTCATTGCTTTGGTCGCGTCGCATGCCATCTCACGCATCATCCTGATGAACTCGCGATCAGCCTGTTTCTAATACCTTAAGGGTTCCATTGCACCGCTGGCAGCTCACCTACTTCAGACAGCCTCTTGGCGCTTTAACCCTAAACCCATTTGTATAGCATGGACCCCACGCCACCCCGGCCTGCTCGGCAACGAGGCGGCAAACGCCACTGCCCGCGCTTCTCTTATTCGGGCCGTTGCCCCTCCATGTCCCGATTCGAAATATGGATATACGAATCTGACGCGCTTTCGCGAAATTCTTGCCTATTACCGGGCTTCGCGCTGCCTGTTCCCGGACCCTGCAAGTGGTCTGGAGAAAATGGACGAGCGAATACAGCGCCGCCTCCAGACGAACACTTGTCTCAGTCCGGCGGTCGCCAGGCAATTTTTCCCGGACATCACTGGCACCTGCTCGACCTGCCAGGTCGTGGCCGACACCTACCACGTAGTCGCTTCGTGCCCTACTAACCACCTTCCTTTTTCACCCCTTTTCCCCTTGCCAACAATAGAGGCTTGGGAGGAGTACCTGCTCGGCTGCATGACCTTGGATGCTCAACGCTCTTCAGTCAAGCGCGGTCGAGCAGCGGCCAACTCCATTGGCATCCCGGAATAAGGTCTTGCCACTCAGTCATGCAATATGCCGCAACTCTCTGGTACATTTTCTGTAGTAAAATGTTTCTATCACCACCACAAGCGCAGATATGAAAGAGGCGAGCAAATGTCGCGTTCCCCTTGATCTTTAGTATCTGCAGGCACATTTCCTAAAACACCCAATATATACTACAACCCTTTTTTACCGCAATAGTGCACCAGCAAGCTCGATTACGAAGCATCCC